TGGTCGGTTCATTGTACCACTGTAGTAATTATCTGACTCCCCCTGTACTATATTTTTACAAGACCCAAATCAGACCAAAAATGGGGTATTTCTGACATATCTGGGCTGTAATTATCCAGGTCTCACTTGTCTGTCTTCACAGAGCTCAAAAGCGAGGCAGGAAAAAAGCCTTATTCAAATAATCTGGATCAAAGCCAGGAACAATTAATTTTAATTTATTTATTTGAAATCGTCACTCTACGTACAAAACCTTTGGTTACAATGTCTTTTCGAACCGTCGTCCGGAAGTTACCTACGCAAAAGACACGGAAAATAGCATGTCATATTAGGTTGAGATTTAAACAATTTCTGCATTAGTAATTAGGAAAATATATTCGTTAATACAACTAATTAGTAAAAATAGAAATTATTTATAACCCAGCCTAATACACTCCTTCTGTGGTTAAGCATGAATCAATACCCGGCGACGTATGCGCTTAGGTGATATCGTAACATCTCTTCCCTTCCGTTAATCAAGCCATGTTAGCGAATACGAGAATCGAGTCCTTCAATCGCGCCAATCATGACCAATGAGAAGAACAGAGAAAGCAAATGAATTCCGGAACCAGAAATAATATGAATCTAAACTGTTGGTCTCGAGAGACACAGGAAAATAATGCAAACATCAAGTTGATTATTCACATCAGTTTGGAAAATATAATGACAGATTTGTCAGTGCCAGTTAGATATAACTTATGTAATTACACTGTCTTCCCCGGCTTGCCGCGAATTATTGTTGCATCCAGAAGAAACGACAGGAATTCTATCAACAGTTACTGGAGCGTCCGTCGTATTTACGCTGTCTCCTTGGACCGTTTCAATGACGCCATTTTGACGTTCGTTTTTGTGTTTTTTTGCAAATTCCTACCGGATAATGGTCATCAAACACTGTCATCTTTACATTTAGCAAATGCCAGCCAGGTCTTGTTAAGCAACTGATTGGAAAAGCTCGTCGGATTCCAAACGTGAAATTACTGGTTGACTAAAAGTCATCATTATTTGGAAAGACCAATGTTGATACTTTATTCTGCACGCTTCTACGCAATTACAAAGGAGAATATATATATATATATATATATATATATATATATATGTGTGTGTGTGTGTGTGTGTGTGTGTGTGTGTTTGTGTGTGTTCTCCTTTCTGACATATATATACATATGTTCTTCCTTGTAACACACACACATATATATATATATATAATCTTATTTATGAAACACACACACACACACACACAGTGGAATTATATATATATATATATATATATATATATATATATATATATATTCTTGTGACATACACACAACTATATATATATATGTATGTATATATATATATATATATATATAATACAGACAAAACACAGACACACACACACACACACACACACATATATATATATTATAAATTAACTGATTTAAAAATATGGTTTCATCGCTACACAGGAATTAAATACAAAAAAAACAGAAACTAAAAAACTTCAAATTCAATTATATAATTAAATCAAAAGCATTAGTTCTGTTTCATCTTCAAGCGAATTTTGGAATATATATATATATATATATATATATATATATATATATATATATATATATGTGTGTGTGTGTGTGTGTGTGTGTGTGTGTGGGTGTGTGTGTTTTCAATATAAAGGTTATTTCAAAAGCAGGAATTCTTTAAGAAATACATAATTAAATGATAGGGACAAAGTTCTGTTCATCAATTATTTTTATTAAATTATTTTTAAATTTACGAATTAATTGTTTTGTGTTAAAATAAATTTGCCAAAGTTCGTATGTGTTATTGTTTAATATTATTTTTTTCGGGTATTTGCTATTTGCTACATTCTTTTTCAAGGACTGTTCTGGATATAATTATGCAAAGTTTTTCTTTTTTAAAACATGCGAAATATATATATATATATATATATATATATATATATATATATATATATATATATATAAAGAGAGAGAGAGAGAGAGAGAGAGAGACTTGATAGACATGGAAAGTTTCAAAAAACTGTTCCATGTGATTGATTCTGGCCTTATATTGAAACTAGTTAGCAGGAAAACACATGCCCTCATGATAAAGGTTTTTTGAGCGTCTTGTCCTTATCAAAATACGGATCATGTCAGATTATATGCTTTTTCCAGAGACTTCTACTAATATCTGCTCAATATCGCTTTGTCTGATAATTGTTGAAATAATACAACAGTTCCTGAAAGGGCTCCTGCAACAGGGATTAAATTTCGAGACTAGTAGATGGGGAAACTGGGAAATGAGAAACTAACCATTATATATATATATTATGCTAAAAGGTTCTTCCTAATTTATTTGTTGATATAGTACGAAATAATTCATATGTTAGATAAAGAAAAATTAGCTCTGAAATCGTAGGCATTTCATTAGAGAAATTGGTACAGCAGAACAGGTCTCCGCGTCATTGTAGATGATGAATTATTTTCCAAACTACTATCCTTTTCCCATGAACACTCACTAAAACATCAGCCCTTCGTAGTAGGAGTTAAACAATTTCAGCATAAAAGATTAGTAGGAAAAATAAAGTAAATTAGCTATTGAATTTATTAATTATTAAGTCCTTTGTGAGAACGAAAATATTTGCCTACCATATATATATATATATATATATATATATATATATATATATATATATATATATATATTATATGAAGAAAAATATACAGAAAAAACAAACAAAAATCTTAATATGCAATTACAGATGTATTAATGTTATATATAAAAAATTCGGACGTTATGTCCTATTTAAGACCATCTTCTTTATTTGATTTAAACATAATTAACATTAGGACATATAAAAATTCAAATGAAAAGACGATGGACATAAAATAACAACTAATATAAACAGATAATTTCTTTTTATTTATATAAGATCAGTTGTTCTTATGTCCATCGTCTTTTCGTGTTAAATTTTTATATGTTCTAATGTTAATTATGTTCAAACAAAAAAATGTCCAAAAAGATGGTACAAAATAGACTGAAACGTTCCGACGTTGACTTTATATTAACATTAAAACAGCAAATTGCATATTAAGATTTTTGTTTGTTTTTTCTGTATTATTTTTCTTCATACTTCGGATCTATATTTATATTTTTTTTATATATATATATATATATATAT